CATCTGTTGTTGGTAGATTTCTGAATGTGAGCCATTCTAACTGGGGTGAGGTGAAACCTCATTGTGGTTTTGAACCCCATACTTCTTTAAGTTTTCTCACTACCAGCACCCTTTAATTGAAACATATTATCTGCATTCCTGGCCTCTTGCCTGTGCCTTCCTCCCTTCAGGCCCTTGAACTCTGTACACCTGATCCATCGGATGTTGAGTTGTCCGTCCTCTTATGCGGCCTGGCTCATGTATGTACTTGAGGAGATGAGGTATGTGAGGGTACTTGAAAAAGTGTGGTGAGGGGCCGGCGCTATGGCGTAGCGGGTAAAGCCGCCGCCTGCAGTGCCAGCATCCCATATAGGCGCCGGTTTGAGTCCCGGCTGCACCACTTCCAATCCAGCTCTCTGCTGTGGCCTGGGAAAGCAGTAGAAGATGGCTCAAGTCCTTGGGCCCCTGTACCCATGTGGGAGACCTGGAGGAAGCTCCTGGCTCCTGGCTTCAGATTGGTGCAGCTCCAGCCATTGCAGCCATTTGGGTAGTGAAACAGCTGATGGAAAACCTTTCTCTCTCTCTCTTCCTCTCTGTGACTCTGCCTTTCAAATAAATAAATAAATCTTAAAAAAAAAAAAAGTGTAGTGAGAGGGCCGGCGCTGTGGCATAGCCATCTGCGGCACTGGTGTCCCATATGGATGGCAGTTCAAGTCCCAGCTACTCCACTACCAATTCAGCTCCCTGCTAATGGCCTGCAAAAACCAGTGGAAGATAGCCCAACTGCTTGGGCCCCTGCACCCACATGGAAGACCCAGATGAAACTTCTGCCTCCTGGCTTCATACAGGCCCAGCCCTGGCTACTGTGACCAGCTGGGTAATGAATCAGTGGATGGAAGACCTCTCTTTGTCTCTTTCTCTCTCTCTTTGTAACTCTTTCAAATAAACCTTTAAAAAAAAAAAAGTCCGTAGGGAATAGAATTAAAAGATAACTTTATTTTGATACAAAACAAGATTTGAAATCCAAGCATAGTTTTTCCATGAGAGCCATTTCCCATGAATTTCTTAAAAATAATCATCTATTTATTTGAAAGACAGAGAGACAGAGGGAGGGGTGAGAGGAAGGGGAGGGAGAGAGAGAGAGAGAGAGATCAACCTCACATCAACTATTCCATTTCCCAAATGCCTGTAACAACCAGGGTTTGGGCCAGGCAGAAGCCAGGAACAGGAAGCTCAATTTAGGTCTCCTATGTGGATGGCAGAGACTCAGTCACTTGAACTATAATCTACTACTACTTGACAGCAAAAAGCCAGAATCAGAAACAGAGCCAAGATCCAAACTCAGGCACCCCGATGCGGGCTGCAATGATGTCTTGACAGTGATGCCAAATGTCTGCCTTTTCATGGACCTTTTGAAGATCTGTCTGTGCATAGATTTCAAATATTTTACCCCAATACATTTTCCATGAACATTTTGAAGTCATCTCATATTGGAGTTTGATCCAGCTTCCTTGTCAGACAAGCGTGTGTAACAGATGTATCATTTAACTTGACTACTGCCATACGATTCTTGCTCTCCCCCTTAGCGCCATTCTCTCCACCTCACAAATCTGTCCATTTAACTGTAAATGAACTTCCTAAAAATCCATTCTGATGTTGCCCTTCCTCTGCATAAAACACTCCAGTATGTCACTATGACCTACAGGGTCAAACCCTCTGGCATTTCTAACCATTCCACCTGCCACTACTCCTGCAATTGTGAGCTGTTTATCACCCTTCTAGCACTATTTTGTACTTTTGTACCTTTGCATATACTTCCCTTTCTGTCTAGAACGTTCCCTCCTCCTTGTCTGCCTGGAAAACCATTAATTGCTGCGATTTAAGATGCTGGCGTCCCATACAGGCACCAGTTGGAGTCCCGGCTGCTCCACTCCCAATCCAGCTCTCTGCTAATGCACCTGGGAATGCAGCGGGGGATGGCCCAGGTGCTTGGGTTCCTGCCACCCAAGTAGGAAAGTTGTTGAATTTCTGGGATCCTGGCTTCCACCTGCTCAGCCCCAGCTGTTGCAGCCATTTGTGGAAGTGAACCAACAGATGGAAGATATCTTTCTCCCTCTCTCCCTCCCTTCTCTCTGTAACTCTACCTTTCAAATAAATAAATAAACCTTAAAAAAACTATTCATCCTTCAAAGTCCTATTCCAAATATAACCTTACAAACTCAAAGTACCACCTCACATATTCCTTAATAACAACAAAAAGGAAAAGCTGCCTTTGCAGTGGAGAGATAGATCTAATTCTACCCTAACCAAGTGGTCAAAATGATCATCCTCATTAATAGGACAAAAACGAGAACATATATTCCCTGATGCTGTGTACTGAGAATCACACATTCTAATAGTACTCCTGCCAAACTTATTTCACCTGAATCTAATCCTGAGGAAACAATCAAACTAATCTAAACTGAAAAATGTTTTTGCAAAATGGGCTTGAACTCTTCAAAAATAACAGTGTCTGGAAAGACCAATACAAAAGGCTTGGGAACTATTCCAAATTAAAAGAGGCATGACAGCTAAATGAGTGATCCTTGATTTGAGCCTGGGTCAAAAGAAAAAAAAACCCACAGGTATACACACTATTATTGGGAGGCTTGGTGAAACTTGAATATGGATGATATATTAGGTAATAGTACGGGGTCAATGTTAAATCTCCTGAATATAGTGATGGTATTATGGTTACGTAGAAGAATATGCTTGATCTTAGGAGATACATGCTGATGGGCCAGCAAGTTGCTGTATTTGCAATAAACTCTTAATGCTTCAGTAAAAATACACATGCAAATGAATAAATATTCATCTTTGTGTATCGAAATAGCTAAAGCACATGTACTGAAGTGCTCACATTAGATGAATTACAGGTGAAGGGTAAACAGATATTCATTGTTCTATTCTTGCAACCTTTCCATAGGTTTACTATTTTTCAGAACAAAACTTGGACAGAATAAACAATAAATAATAAAAACAAACAAACAGCCTCGATCTGGGTTGTGTTTCCTTTGACACTTTCTGTGACATCCCTCTCTGCTTCTGCCCCTTCTCCTGCCCCATATAAAACAATGAATGACTGGTTTGGATTCTTCCATGATGGTTTGTTTATCTCTGACTAAACTATAAGCTCTTGGAAATCAGGACTTACATTGTGTTGGAGCTACACCATGCTAGGACTGTACTTGACACAGACTGCATACTCAGTTGGTCTTCTTTTTAAATTAATCATGGAGCTGAGTCTTGAAGCCTGGATAGGATTCAGGAAGCAGAGAGGAATGCGGTTTCTCATGAGTAAATGTAAGGAAATAGGGGTGTACGTTTGCCATCGACCAAGAGCATTTGATCTGTGTAGTCCGAACTAAGGATTTGTATCAGTGAAAATGCCTGGCACACAAAAGAGGCTTAATAAATGTCTAATAAATAAATGAGTGAATGAGATTTTGAAAGGCATGTTTAGGTCAGGTTGGAAAGGGCCTTGACTACTTGATTCTTAACATCCAAGGTCTTTTCCAAGTGATGGATAGAGAGTGCATTTTGGGCAAAGTCCCTTATACATTTTCTTTACAGGAAAAGCAGAGACAAGTGGGAGTCTAAAACTGACCTGTTTCCAGACTCAGGGGGAGGAAACAACAACTCCTCATCCACCCAGGGAATGCCCCACAGTGGAATTTTAGTAAGACAGCTTGTCTTTGAGAATCGTGTCTTAAATTATTCAGGTTAAGTTTACAACATTTTTAAAGTGAAGAGGTGTATGTTTATGAACTAACTAGCCTCTACTACTCTTTTTAGGGCCTCTACATTACTCTGTAGATTACAAGGCTCCTCCTAATGTCACATCTCACACCTGAACCCTTTAAAATAACTTTAGCCCAATTGAGCTGTCCTCAACAGGCAGCTTTTATGTTTATTCTGTATTTGTGTTCTGTTTTCTTTCAGATAGATTTGTGGGGACTGATAATGTAAGTAATGCAAAAGTAATTTGATTGTGACAATTGAGAACAAGAAAAGGTGCTGTGTCTTGAAGTTATCATGTCTTTGACCGTCATAAACGGGCGACATCTATTTATCTTTGCTCATAATTACAACATACCTTTGCACACAAGCCAAAATGACAGTGGAGTGAAAAGGCAGTATATATATATGAGTCTCTTGGCTGACTGTTAGTTTTAGGTTATGGTGATTTTCAATTTTTAGTCAACCTTTATGAAACTTAACTACAAGGAAACACAAATAGGAAACAGCATTAAAAAAAAAAAATCAGTGTTTGGCCCAGTTACAATGGAGTGTGAACTTGTTCCCAAAATGTTTAATATTACTAAGAAGACAGGTTTTGGTGGTGGTCAGAGTGCCTGGCAGTTTACAGAGTATGTGGGCATTCTTTTTGAAGAAAGTAGACAAGATAATTTGAGTTCTCGGTTCAAGGTCATAAAGTAGAATCAAGTGATAACATCATTTTGGATCTATGTATAAATGGGGTGTGCCACAGCTAAATCAGTCACCACTGCCCACCACAAGCCAACTTCACATTAGATAAAGGGTTGTGTAACAATTAACAACCATCCCTCCTGTGTTTGTAAGCAGGAGCCTAAGTCTACCGTTACAGTCAATAAAGAAGTATCAGACCAGCTCACCCAGCCTCGCATGTTGCTACAGTTGCACAGATTAGCACATCGTGTGAACCAAATGTTGAGCCTCAGTTTAGAAACCTAGACCCTGTTCCTCAACGCTAATGAAATGGATGCACTTGCAGATACTGTATTCAGTGTAGTCAAACAACAGAAGTTTAAAATTAGGTGTGTAGTCACAGAATACTTTATAAAATCAAAAAAGACCAGAATTAGGCCTTGGAAAATAAACAACTATGAAGAAAGATGAGAAGAAAAGAGATGGGGAAGGGAGTGGGGGAACGGTTTCTGATGAGCACGTGATAGTGTCCTCCCAGCCGGAAGTGGCCATCGCCGTGGAAACCAGAGCATCAGATTAACGGAATTCTGTCGTCAGCGAGGGTAGAGGAGCAGAGAGGCAGGGAGTGGTGATCTGTGACCAGTCCTTTCTCTCCCAAGCCCATGCTGGAGACTGCTTTCCGGAACTCACTCGCGAGGGTGGTGTCCCGAACGTGAGCAGAGACCTCAGATCTGCCGCCATGACGACAGCCTCCCGAAGTTGGTTTTCGTCTTCGCCTGCGGGGCAGCCCTTCATCCACAGCCTCTCCCAGATAACCCGCAGCCTTTACATCAGCAGTGGGGTGGCCGCCAATAACAAATTCCTTCTGTCTAGCAATCACATCACCACGGTCATCAACGCTTCAGTGGAGGTGGTGAATACATTCTACGACAACATCCAATACTTGCAGGTACCTGTGACCGATACTCCCAACTCACACATCTATAACTTTTTCGATATTATTGCTGCTCACATCCACAGCGAGGACATGAAGCAGGGCCGAGCGCTGCTACATTGTGTTGCGGGAGTGAGTCGATCAGCCACCTTCTGCCTTGCGTACCTCATGAAATACCACGCCATGACCCTGCTGGATGCCCACGCCTGGACCAAGACGCGTCGCCCCATCATCCGGCCCAACAACGGCTTTTGGGAACAGCTGATCCATTATGAATTCAAACTGTTCAGCAGGAACACAGTAAAAATGATCAGCTCGCCAGTGGGTGTGATTCCTGACATCTACCACAAAGAAGTCCAGTCGATGATGCAGATGTGAGCTACTCAGCCCACCCCGATGTCCCTGGCCAACAATGCCTATTGATGGGCAACAAAAGACAGAGGGGGGTTGGAATTTTAAATATGCCAGTCTTATCTTTAAAGAATAAAAATCACTATGTATAAGTTTGTGACATATGTCTTCATTTGGGAAGGGCAGGTCGGGCTGTTGGGACCTGGCTGGAATTGATCCTGCCCTGTCCTGACTTGAGTGCCTCCCCGCCCCCCCCCCAACCCCCCACCCCAGACCTGTTAGCAGCTCTAAAAGCGTCAGGAATTCTGAGCCCTGCCTGAGGCTGATTAACCCAGGATTGAGTCCCGCAGAAACTCACCCCGGTTCTTTCTGAGGCAAAGTCAGAGCCTTAGACATCCTGGTTCCCTTTGCACTTCTTTGCAGTAAGTGCTAACCTAGTGGATTAGTGACCTTTCAAGCAGTGCGCTGGGAGCTGCTGCCATCAACCACAGTGGCCCAACTCTGGTCTTCTAGATTGGACTTATATACTATTTTTTGAAGAAACCACTCTACGCTATAAAGTTTAAAAACATGTCTTGAGTGCTATGCTGTATGGTAAGGTCTCAAGGTGCTCTTGGCAATCCCCCACCAGTCTTTGTGAAAAGGGGCCTTAGCCCCTCTCCCAGGGCCTGTGCTGAGAGACCAGGTCTGACATCAGGCCTCAGGGGTTCCTCTCCTGGGCCTTGGCTTGCAAGGTTGTAGTTGGCAGCCATGACTCGGCCCTGTCACCTCTGAAACCTCCTCCATTGTGATCTGGGGCCTCTCAGAGGTTCGGTTTCCCGATGTAGCAATGATAGCCCTTTTCGAACAGAGTTGTTGTGACTACGTTCCCACTTGACACATGAATGGTTTCATGCTCAGACTAAAGGGTCATGAGAACTCTTAGCTCCTGCTGTATGGGGTCAGCACACTCATACTCATAATGACATTTTCCCCACAAGTGCACAGCCCTTTCTTGTTTACAAAGTGCTCTTCCAAAAAAAAAAAAATCATCCAGTGTGGAAAAACAAATCATTTGCAGTCATTTTAGACCCTGCCTAAGAGGAAGCCTAGATTCAGAGCTTTCTCAGGGGTCCCATTGTGTTTAACCTACCCCCTAAAAACACCTTGTTCCCAATCACTGATTTTGGAGCCAGAACCCTGGTCTCACTAACCAGCAGGACCCATCAGTGTACTTGAACACGTGAGCCTCACAAGTGGATACTAGAAGCCAGGACTGTTCAAACTCCCCAGGTACCTAGGCCTCTGGCTTGGCTCCAGCTATTAGAATCCAGAGGATATTAGACCAAAAATATATGAGGCAGGAATCCAACTGTTGCGGCTGAAGCAGACCTGCGGATTCAGAGCCTAGTGAAGTCCAAGAGCCCTTTGTCTCTAAATCCATACCCATCACCACTTCCACAAAGAGAGTGCCCAGAATATAACATGGGGGGAGGGGATGAAAAACACTGCTCCAGCTAGCTCCTTTCCTTTTACAAATGAGAAAACAAGCCCACAGAACACAAGGGTTGTGGTGGCCAAGCTCTCACAGAGTAGACTTTCTGGTAGAAATTGAGATGGAAAACTTTTTTTTTAAAAAAAGATTTATGTATTTATTTGAAAGGCAGAATTACAGAGAGGGAGAGAGGCAAAGGTCTTCCATCTGCTGGTTCACTCCCCAGATAGCTGCAACAGCTGGAGTTGGGCCGATCTGAAGCCAGGAGCCAGGAGCTTCTTCTGGGTCTCCCATGTGGGTATAGGGGACCAAGGACTTAGGCCATCTTCTACTACTTTCTCAGGCCATAGAAGAGAGCTGGATCAGAAGTGGAACAGGGACCAGTACTGTGGCATAGCAGGTAAAGCTGCCGCCTGCAGTGCCAGCATCCCACATAGGTGCTGGTTCAAGTCCCAATTGCTCCACTTCTGATCCAGCTCTCTGGTGAGGCCTGGGAAAGCAGTAGAAGATGGCCCAAGTCCTTGGGCCCCTGTAATCCAGGTCTCCTATGTGGGTGACAGGGATCCAACTCCCTGAACCATCACCACTGTCTCTACACATTAGCAGGAAGCTGAAATCAAGAGCAGTGCTGGGACTTGAACCCATGAACTGAAGAATTCAAAGCAGTTGTCTTAACCCCCACACCAAATGCCAGTTCCTGCCCTGTTTTTTGTTTTGTTTTGATTTAAGATTTATTTATTTGAAAGGCAAACTTCCAGAAAGAGGGAGAGACATGGGAAGAGAGGTCTTCCATCCCCCGGTTCACTCTCCAAATGGCCACAATGGCCAGGGCTATTTCATTCTGAAGCCAGGAGCCTAGAACGCCAATCCTATCTCTCACACAGGTGTAGGGGCTAAAGCACTTGAGCCATCTTCCACTGCTTTCCCAGGCCATTAACAGGGAGCCGGATCAGAAGTGAAGCAGCCAGGACTCAAGTGGCATCCATATGGGATGCTGGTGTCGCAGACTATTGCTTACCCCATGTATCACAGTACCAGCCCCTTTGCCCTTCATTTTTTAAGTATTTATTAATGTCCACAGATTTTTTTTCCCCAAATCAAAGTATATATTTTATTTTTTCTTTTCTGTTATAAGAGCTGAAATATATAAAAAGGATATTCAATTTTTCTTGCCAAATAGGTTGCATGTATTTTTTCCAGTTTATCATGTGCCATTTTTTATGGTGCTTGCTTGGAACTTTAAAAATGTAAATTTGGGGAGCCAGTGTTGTGGCACAGAGAGTAAAGCTACTGCCTGTGATATTGGCATCCTATACGGGCTGCTCCACTTCTGATCCAGCTCCTTGCTAATGTGCTTACACCCACGTGGGAGACTCAGATGAAGGTCCTGGCTCCTGGCTCCTGGCTTTGGCCTGGCCCAGCTCTGGTCATTTTGGCCATCTGGGAAGTGAAGCAGTGGATGGAAAATCTCTCCCTTTCCATCTCTCCCCCTCTCCCTGTAACTCTTTCAAGTAAATAAATAAATCTTTAAAATATATAAATCTGATGTAGCTAGATTTGTGAGTCTTTAACTGAATGGTTTTTGTTTCTGATGGATACTTGAAATGTTTTCTCCATGACATAATTATTAAAATTAATAATAATTATTAATATATAATTATTAATAATTATTATTAAAATGCTATTTTCTCCTTATGTTTTTTTCAACTTTAAACTTTTCCCCCATTTTTTTCATTTGAAAATGTTCAAATTCCCTAATACACAATCCACGTTTAAAGTTTTCCACTTGGGGCCATCGTTGTGACATATTGGGCTAAGCTGCTGCCTGCAACACTGGAATCTCATATGAGCACCAGTTCAAGTACTGGCTACGCCTCTTCCAATCCAGCTCTCTGCTATGGCCTGAGAAAGCAGTCAAAGATGGCCTAAGTGCTTGGGCCCCTGCACCCACATGGGAGACCTGGAAGAAGTTCCTGGCTCGGGATCAGCACAGCTCCCGCCATTGCGGCCATCTGGGGAGTGAACCAGCTGATGGAAGACCTTTCTCTCTGTCTCTCCCTCTCTCTGTAACTCCACCTCTCAAATAAATAAAATAAAATCTTTTAAAAAATAAAAATAAAGTTTCCACTTATGACTAAAATGTCTTTTAGTTATCCTTTATTTCTGAAACAGAATCCCATCAAAGTTAAACTTTGCATTTCGTTATTGTGTTTCTTTTCATTGCGAACAGTGCCTTCACTCTTTTTTTCTCCCTGACATTGTCTTTTTGATGAGTCCAGACTAATTCTGTTATGTAATATTCAGTACTCTGGGTTTGTCCAGTTCTTTCCTCATGATCTTGCTTAAATTGTTCCTCTATCCCCTATGTTTTCTTTAAACTAAAAGTTAGACCTAAATGTTTGACTGGATATTGGTTAAGGATTTTTTTTTTTCTGGAAAACTTGAGAAGTGGTGTCACCTTGCACAGTTATGAGGAAGCACAAATGTCTGTTGCATCAGCAGTAACTCTAAGTTTGATCACTTAGTTAAGGTGGACCCCAGCAGCTAAAATGCCTTTAAACTGAGTAAGTAAAAGCAAAAGAAACAAAGAAAGGGAAAAATTAGTAAGTAATATGTAGAGTGATACTTTAGTACTGTGTCACTGTCCTGTCCCTTTCATCCAATAGTAATGATCTTTGCCTCAATCAGTAATTGCATTGGGGGACATCTAACCCTTCAGTCTATACTAAACTCATTTTGGTATTTGGTATAACTTGGAATTATTTAATTTTTAGAAATAATTTTGGGATGTTGCAACACCACCATAAATGTTTGTGTCTGCTTTTGTTTTCTGATGTGTTACACTATCTTTTCCCATGCCAGTACCACATTCCTTAAAATTGGTGCATTTTCGGCCGGCGCCACAGCTCAATAGGCTAATCCTCCGCCTGTGGCGCCAGCACACCAGGTTCTAGTCCCGGTCGGGGCGCCGAATTCTGTCCCGGTTGCTCCTCTTCCAGTCCAGCTCTCTGCTGTGGCCCAGGAGTGCAGTGGAGGATGGCCCAAGTGCTTGGGCCCTGCACCGGCATGGGAGACCAGGAGAAGCACCTGGCTCCTGGCTTCGGATTAGTGCGGTGCACAGGCCGCAGCATGCCAGCCGCAGCGGCCATTGGAGGGTGAACCAACGGTAAAGGAAGACCTTTCTCTCTCTCTCTCTCACTGTCCACTCTGCCTGTCAAAAAAAAAAAAAAATTGGTGCATTTTCATCAAAAGCTGTAATAGGCATTCCCCTCCGGTTTATTGTGTTCAGGGCTGCATTTATGTGTTGGTATTTGAGAGCCCATTGTAAGCTACCTTAGTGTCTCCTCTTCAAACCCTTTCACTATTCCCTTGCTAATAAGATATAGGATGATAGGGAGGTGACTTCTTAAGCACCCTTTGGGAACTGCCTAATCAGGGGGGAGGTGCAATGTAAACATGAATTTTATGGGTGCCTTTTGGTACTTAGGCCACATTCCCTGCCAAGTCTTTTCCATTTGTGTTCATGATACTGTATTTACCAAGACTTCTGAAATGGGGCTCTTGAGAGTATTAAAATCTGAACGTGGAGTTAGCCTCTTCCCTCAATGACCTCTATGGTGAGGGAATAAAAACAGCAGGAGACTTGGCCAAGTTTGAAGGCCTCTTTGAGCAATTTGA